GAGATTTATTCACAAGCTGCCAGAAATGGACTCGTCTAAGAGGAAGAGGAACGGAAGTCTAGAAGTAGCTGGAATTGAAGAAAACTGCGTTCATGCGGAAGAATTCATTGTTTCTCAAGATGATAATCCTAGGATGCCAAATTCCCATCTGCAAATTGCCAGACATAAGGACGAGTCAGAGATCTGCTCAGCGGATTCTGAAGTGCAGAGGAAAAAACCCTTAAAAAGATTTGTCATTCCTAGTGAGTTAGGTAGGTCCTCCCGTCAGCTTCCAGGTGTGGGGCAAATTCAAGAAATTCCAGTTGCTTCTGGAAAATCACTCACGTGCTAAAACGGCTGGAGATTAACGGGTCAAAATTTGTAGATGCTCGGAGGATGAATAGAGGTATGTATGTAATAAACCTTGTTGTTCTAGCTGTTGTTCCATAGGCGCCACAAATTTTCAAAGAGCGGCGCGTTTTTTGTCTCACCCGTAATTGCATCGGGTCACCGTGAACTCTGCACTCAGACTGGTTTCTTCCAGTTGGCCTAGACTACCCAGTGAGTCCAAATTTTAACTATTAGGATTCTTCTGGGAACTCCCACTGAATAGTGAAAATAACTTCTCCATTGCAGCTTTCACTGTCTTTGCACTTTCACTTGAAAAATTGAAGTTGGCTCTTCACTAGGACAACCTTTATAATAGGTTTCCCTTAAACAAAAACATAATTAAATAAATATTAAAATGCTACATGTTAAATGTTGGAACGATTTATTCTCTCTTCTTCCTTGTGCAGTATAATCCAGAACCAGGACACATAGAGGCAAATACATCATCTTAGAAAATCAAGCTATCTCCTACAGTCACAACAGGGCAGGAACTTGGAATGCCAGTGAGAGAGATGAATACAGTGCCAGCAGAGGCACAAGGTTCAGACAGAATCAAATATATCACAAGAATTTTCTTTTTTTAGGGGAAGACAAAACTGGATTTCAAAACCAAATCATCTGTTAATTAATTGTTAATTGACTAGGAAATTAGATCCAAAATAAAACTTTTGCCTCATTCTTGGGGATGGATGGAGGAGAGACATATATCTGAGTAAAGATGCAGTTGACACAAATGATAAGATAATCACAGTTGCAAAACTGGGGAACCACCATGAAACCAAGATTGTACTAGAGTGTACATGGGACAAACTACCAAATTTTCCTTACATATATATCATACAACACCACACGTGCAGTCATCACAAGGAGATACGGTGTAAGATCGCTCACAGGCCCCAACAACCAGCCAAATAAAGTGTGCTCTAGGACCAACAGAAGGATAAGATATGTGGAGAATAGGAAGAAGTAGATAGATGAAGAAGGGAGGATAAACAGGATGATGCAGGGATGCAATTCACTTGAGGTCATCCTCCTCATCGAGCATCTCCTGGATTTCACCGTCGAATCCACCCTCTCGGTCATCATCCACAACCTCGTATTCATCCAGTTCAGCTTGCAGCTCCTTCTCCCATTCATCTTCTCCTGTTTAGAGGTAGTGAAAATTGAATAATTCAGTAGTGTCAGTAAAGTCAGTGGACCCTTGTTCATCTGATCAAGGACTTCAATAAGCAAGGTAATGCAAACCAAAATAAATTTTCCTATCTCTCTGCCACTATGCCCCATGTGAGGGAGTCAAACAATTAAGGAAACATGAGTTGTGTTTCATTAGGCAATCTGAACAATATGTCAAGACCTTTGCATTCAAAGGAGCACATGATTTCATCTGTAGTAGGTCAAACACAATGAATAGTTTGGGGTGTATTCATTGCATGTGTTCATCATGACAGTGACCAGGACAGCAGCTTTGATTAGCATGGTGAACCACAACTACAGCAAAGGATGCACCCAGTAGCTGATGAGAGTGAAGGATCACTTTAGAACAGTGGTCGGCAACTGAATTTCATGGGGGCCGGATGACAAAATGCTGCACATTTATGGGCCAGCCACCTATCAAGTGTAATAAAATTTTTAATTTTGATGAATGTCTGATGTCAAATGTCCAGCTGAATGGCGACCGTCAGACCATAATGTGCAATATCCTGGCCTTCACTAGCCAGATCTGGCCGTGGGCTGCCAATTGCCAACCACTGCTTTAGAAGATAACTGGCTCCTCTATGCACAAAAAAAAGGAAGCATATGAGTTTACCTTGAGGGAATGCTATAACATTGCATACAAATTTAATTGAAATCATTTAATTGAAATTTTGCAAATTTGTGAGATCTAAATAAAGTTTCAATTCATATTTTGAAGGGACCTGAAGAATTAGAAAACCCTGGATACTGGGAAACCCCACTGAAAGGCATATATGCTAATAAGTGAACTTTCAACTATTTCACAATGAAAAAAAGTTTAATTTCAACAACTCTATATAAAAAAATGTGAGCAAAGGAATAAGCACCTTCATGTGTGGAAATCAAGTTAAGGCATATACACTTCAGAATGCACATTTCACTAATTTTCCAGACTTAGGGAATTCATTTAAATGCCTATAAATCAGAGTTTCAAAGTATGTGGTTATTTTGTTCCCAAGTCAATCATTTTTTCAGGGGTGATGGCCATGGAAAAGGATTTACTCTCTTCACTCTCATCAGTCATGAAACTGGAAGTCTTTAGCTACAAGATGCACTTAATGTCATTGCACAGCACTTAATACAGGGTGGCCCAATGTCGCTTTAACATTTAAAAATCGAATAAATTTTTTGTTTGTTAATTTTTTGTATTCATTTTTTTATAATATAAAGTACAGAAAATTGAATTTTTTAAAAACTATGTATGAAAAATGATGTCACGTAAATGACCCCCATTTTCTGCTTTGCAAGCACAGGCTCTTTCTATGGCATTTTCCAAGACGGCTCTTAACATGTCTGGCTCCAGCGCTTGAATTTCTTCCCGAATGTTGTCCTTAAGCTGCTGGATGGTCCCGGGCTTATTGACATACACCCGATCCTTCAGGTAGCCCCAAAGAAAAAATTCTGGTGCTGTCAAATTGGGTGAACGTGGAGGCTAATTGAAATCTGAATTTCGCTAAATTATTCACTCTTCGAAAATCTGCCTTAGCAGCTGCATTGTGGCTCTGGCCTTATGGGCAATTGCCCCATCTTGCTGCCCTCATGTCTCAGGCATGTCTTCCACTGCAGGACGCACAAAATTCTCCAGCATTGCTTGATATCGGTCGCTGGTCACCATAACTGTATTGCCATCTTTGTCCTCAAAAAAGTAAGGCCCGATTACCCTTTCGGATGTTACACCGCACCAAACCGTGACCTTGAGGGGGTGCAATTCATGTTGATGGATGACCCTCGGATTCTCGGTGCCCCAAAACCTAGTATTCTGCTTATTCACAGAGCCATTCAGGTGAAAATGGGCTTCATCTCCCATGATCAGATTGTGAATAAAGTTGTTGTCTTCTCTAGCCATCTCTTGAATTCGGATTGCATAATTTAGCCGTTGCTGACAATCTATCGGCTTTAATTCATGCACCAATTGCACCTTGTATGGGTACATGTGTAAATGTGTTTGCATGCACTGCAACAAAATTCGTGAGATTCCAAGCTCGCGAGAACGTCTTCGAGTGGACGTTCCTGGTTCTTCCTGAATGCTCTGCTGCACACGTCCAATATTTTCCTGCGTACGTACTGAACGTGATCTCCCGGCTCATGGCAAATCACTAACAGACCCCTGTTGCTGGAAACGTTGAACCAAGTGACGTATTGCTGGTTTTGTGGGCGGATTCCTGACATGGAAATAGCGCATGTATGCTCTCTGTGTTAGAACAATGCAGCGCTGATTTTCGAAATAAAATTCAATTAATTTTACGCGTTGCTCCGTTGTGAATTTTTCCATAATAAATTTCCAGGGAACAAATTTTCAAAATCTGAAACAAAAATTTTAACAAATTAATGGCAAAAAAGTTATTAAATTTTTAAATGGTAAAGCGACTTATGGGCCACCCTGTATTATCACAATAGTGTATGTTTACTTCATCAAACACTATGACATCCTCATTTTGTTGAACATTTCCATGGGGAGAATTCCTTAAATATTATTTATGCTAATCTGCAGGCATCTATACTATAATGTTTCTGAAGTAAAATGAAGTGGCACGAAGTGCTGCTTTTTTTGTGCATTGAATTTTCCTTGGTAAAGAACAATGGGAAATACTTTCATCCTGACAAAGGGCATGTCTTTTTCTCCAGCTGATAGCAGCTGCTGGGAAAAAAGACCCATTGGCTAGGCACAACCATGTCATTGAATGACATCACTATTGGGCAAGCAGCTGCAAGCGGAACAAAGCGAACTATGAGAACACTGAGCAGCTAAGCCTTAAAATGACATCATTGGATGCTGGGGGGCTTCAGCAGAGCTAGTTGAGCCACTAGCAAAAAAGACACACCCAAAGGCATTGATTATGACCTACCTGTGCAATGAGTACCTAATGATATGAAAAACTTGAAGCATACTTTTTTTCCTGAGGTTCTAGTCTTGGTATTTATTAAATCTAGTGAGTAATGGGCAACCTTGATCTTCATGAATTGAAGAAAGGAATCAATAAATTAGGAAGTTTCTCACACCTCTTATAGTATTTTAAGAGTTGCAATGCTAGTGTAAAAAAATAGTCCATTACATTTCACCCAATGGATTGTCTAGTTCCACCATGAACAAATTCAGACCCCATGCAAGTGCAACATATGTATTTTCTTCCTAAATGTAAAAATAAAGCAAGCAGTTCATATTACATCTATGATGCAACTTTCCAATCTCTCTCTACTTGATCAGGAAGGAGACTTTGTCTATCATCAGTTACATATCCTCATCATATACCTTCTTTCCACCAGGTCTGTGTTTCTCCTTTCTGATCAGGCAGTGTTGCTCTATGGCTTGTGGCAGGTTGCACTGACATGTTAATAGAACTCTTGCTGGAATTCATTGCACAAGTATTAATATCTCCAATAAACGAAACATATATTCTGGCATGATGAAATGTATTATCAAAAGCAGTCAAACTGTGAACAGGAGCATCATTGCATGGCACCAAAGGTATTGAAAAAGTGACTAGATAATGGCACATGAAAGGAGAACTTTTAAATGCAATAAAAACAATGATTGTGATAGAAGGGAAAATGGTCACCAAACTTAAGTGAAGACTCTTGAAGGCATGAAAATTGGCACATGTTAGATGCACTAGATGATCTGGAAGACATGAGAACATATAAAGAAAATGTAAAAAAGTTGTCATATACCAAGTAAAGATGATAATGGTAACAAAAATGGTAAAAAAAAATACAGCATAATAAAACTCAATAATAATTTTGATTGAAGAAACCCATAATAAAGAAATCCCATGAAGATAAATGCAATTGGATACCAGCTGGACAAGGAACATAACCACCTAAATCATTTCAGCCATTATAGTAAGATGCCTGGAACACCAGCTGTTATCCATGAGTGAATGAACAAGGAATGATTGGCAAGTCCATGAATCAGTCAGTCATAGCTTAGAATGAGTTGGTGGGATGAGGTTCCCACATGCAAAAATATCCTTAGGATCCAGATGCTTCTTGATTGCTTGAAGAGTGGTGAGTCCTAAAGGAGAGACAGAGTGTGGCATCCATTTCTGTCTGATTTTCCCAACACCATGATGATGGGAGATGCTTCCACCGGAACGCAGAATCTCATCTCTTGCTTTTGCCTGAAATTAAGGCAAATAACTGCCTTGAATTCTGAAGATATTCATGATGATAAACAGAAGAGTACTTACCTCTAATTCCTCATAAATGGCCATTGGATCAGTGAGAGTAAGACTTGCATAGTTGAAGGACAGGTAGAAGTAGATGCATGCTCCAGCATCATAGCTTTGTGTCACTCGACATGTGATATAGTAATATTTGATGTTGCGAGCTATGTGGAAAAACATCTGATAACTGTGAGACAAGCGAGTGAAAGGCTTTATGCAAGAAGGTGGTAAGCTAAAAATTTCTCCTGCTGAGGAAGTGGTTGCTGAAATCTGAGAGGAGCACAGACTTATACTAGTATAGAGCAGCGGTTCCCAAACTGTGGGTCACGAGAGTTATCAAGGTGGGTCGCATACATTTTCCCAGTATAAAAAATCACCATATCTGCATCCGCTCAGAATAAAACATCGCCTGCAGAAAAGGTCTATCAGTCTATCAGTTTTCTTCATGTCATAATTACTTTGAAAATACCTGTTCTGGATTCCAGTGGGTCGCGAAATTTTCTGTACGTCAGCAAGTGGGTCGTGATTCAAAAAAGTCTGGGAACCACTGGTATAGAGGATACTGGGGCACTCCTACAGCAGCCATCTCAGGGAATTATAATGCACCAATTTGTATGCCTCTTGATAACATAGGAGAGAGAATCATGCATTCTGAGGAGCCACAAACCTCTCCCCTATAGTTCTTATTTATTCACAGGTTGCCTTGATGTAGCATGTGGGCAGTGAGTACCATACACATAAAAGGGATAAATATGAAAGGTTTTTTATGCAGGCCTTCAACATTGATGAATTGATGTAATGAAGCACTTTCCTGCATGGAGCCTTTCATTTCCATTCCATGTACATATATTACCAAATTGAACATACCTGCACACTCTCTCTGGATGCAGAGTTTGACATTCCGGCACAAGCTGGAGACTTTGGACCATGGGACAGAAGTCTCAAATGACTCTGCAAGATTGTGGTAATCCATGCCAAAATCCTGCAGCAAAGATGCACTTTCTTAAAATGTTCACCCATATCCATAACCATAATCAAACCACTATCAGCATAATGATCATTTCATTTGAGTCCTCACCCTTATGTATGCAATGACAAAGGTAAGGAGGTAACCCCTCTTTCCATTCTCTTCTCCAGCTGGTATGCCATTGAACTTGGCTGCAATTTCATTGATCTCTTTCTCCAAATCATTGACTTCTTTTCTTGTTCCCTCAAAGAGGAGAGTAGCCACAGATAGTTTGTTCAAATCGAAGCCCTTCAGCTTTGTGAGATAAAGCTTTTGCATGGTTTCTTTAAAAGAACCAAAGTATCCCCCAGGAACTTTCAGCGCATGACCTGCATGATGACACAAGGCTATGACTCTTCCCATTCAGCATAGTCTTGGAGCAACTACATCGGATTTCACACTTACCAAACTTGAACTGATCATTATCCATGAGGCGGATGGAAGCTGGCTTCAGTCTCTGAAAATATCATGAAGGATGAGAATCAGAGTCCCTACCATGCAATCATTTCCAAGAGCAAAGAGCAAGTCATACCCTCCTAGCAACTTCACGTAAACAGAGCACTCCACTGTCAAAGTCAGGGAAGACAAGAGAGCCATGCTTCTGGCATTCTGGTAAGGGACGGATTTTAAGACTGACTTCAGTGATGACTCCCAGCAACCCTTCAGACCCAATGATGAGTTCGTGGAGGTCTGGCCCTGAGGACACTCGAGGCACTTGATACCCTCGCTGGATCACTCCCAGAGAGGTCACCAGTGTCACATGGACCAAGAGATCCTCAATATTCCCATATATACTCTTCTTCATTCCTGATGCCCTTGTAGCAACCCATCCTCCCAAACTGGATTTCAGCAATCAATGCAGACTTTAAGATTTCTTAAGGATACATCATGCTAAATGAAAGCTGAAATAACAGGCTACCGCACCTAGAAAACTCAATGGAGTCAGGCTCATGACCAACAGTGAATCCCTTCTTTTGGAGGCTTCTTTCCAAATCTTGACCAATGATCCCAGCTTCACAGCGACATAAAAGGTTCTCCTCATCAATCCACAAAATCCTATTCTGGATGAACCAACATGTCATGTGAAAACTCAATTCATGACATACACCCAAGATCCAACTGAAGAAAGATAACTTCACTCCTAATTTCTATCATTTTCCAGTCAGCATAAATGCATCTCTCCTTAATTAAATTTTAAAAGTGCATTTAAAAAAGTGCTCCCTGGCAAACATACCATCTGGGAAGTATCAAGAGAGGCAATGCAGCGTTGTTCATGCTCAGGACATTCCAGGGCTCCAGTGACATTAGTCCCCCCACCAAATGGAATGATGACGACATTCAAGCGGTTAGCCAGAGATACTACTTTCACCACTTCATCATGGTTCTCTGCAGATTTTTGGAATATAAAGATGCAATCCCAATCATGCATATAAAGCAGATCATGCACAGGTTAGAAAAAACAAGCAAGACTGTTGCTTTGTTGCTGACTCAGGAATCTGAGCTGAAATGCATAAGCTGGCAACATTTGCTCAACAGTTTGCCTATTCATGGCAAAGACCTCCTCCTGAGTACAATCTCCAAGCCCCTTTTGCTTTTTTCATCTAATTAATCAATAAGACCAGAGCCCAGCAGTAGAGAAGTGAAAATAATTCAAATTCACATTTAATACACTCACTTGGCCATAGGACAATATCAGGGATTCTAGGAAACATGGATGTGCGAAGAGTATGAATCTCTCGTACAGTGTGACCATGAGCTCGGAAGACACGATCATCAGGCGCTAGAGAATGCATAATTTTGGCTTCTTTGATGTTATTCATGAAGTCTTCATTGATGATGGGTTTTGGAACTTCATCTTCCCTGAGTGCCTCTTTTTTGGGGACTGTAATGCTCAAATCAACATTCAGCACATCCTTGGCCCATTGGAAAAACCCAGGAAGGTGATGACCACTTAAAGGATACCTAATGGGCAGCAAAAATAAAACAGCAATCCCAGGCTTTGCTTTTTCAAGCATACAAAATGCTTTTCTCATACAATGGTATCCTATGCTCACCTGTTACCTGAGAAGGCTGCAACATCATCTGCTCGGTAGAAAAAGGAATCCTTATATCCCCAACCATTCCATTTCAAAAGGTTCTGCCTGTAAATGGACATTAATGAATGACTTCACAGAGGGAATCAAATGAAAATTTATTTTACTCTTCACAAAGCAGGAAGGACTCTACAGAAGTCTATATAGGCCAGTATAAACTGGGAAGTTGCATAAGCTACAACAAGCTTTGGGCTCTGCTACAGACCATCAGGTCTGAAGAAGTATCCATTTAATGCTGAAGCATATCTTGAACCATTTACCAGACAATCCTGACACATCCAAATGTCATTTATGCTTTCTGATATATGAAGGGAGGTCAAGAGCTTCTAATACCAGTTATTTTATTTGCTTTTACACTGAGTTAGGTGGTCAATATCTGGAAGAATCCTTATGAAAAAATATAACCTTCTACCCTGAACCATATCTTACTTTTGCTTTAATATATAGAGGTCACTCTTTGAGAGAGTGAGTATATGTGTGTAAGAATAATTCATCAATAATTATGAATAAGGAATAATTCATGAAGGCCCAGAAAGGACCAGGTAGCATGAGCCATGAGCCAATGGAGTGCCATTTCTTATGACCTGTCCAAAGCTGTTAGAGCCTTCCTTTTCTCAAACCTGCTTTATGGGGAGCAGAAGGGAGGGGGAAAAGACCCAAATAAGACAAAGGATACTTTTGCTGGTCTGTGGATTAGAAATGGTCCTTTCCGGGACTGGACAAGCTATATAAATGTCTGTGGGAGTGTGTACATACATGTGCATGCATATGGGTTGCGAAGAATATTGAAATTGAACTTAATATTAAAAACTAAGATTACCAAAGATTGAATTTGGTATGAAAGCAAAATTGAGACTCATTTCAATGGGACATTTGTTGAAGTTATATAATTGCAACAAGTTATATGACAAATGCGACATATGCTGCTCTCTGTGGATTGAGAAGTGGTCCTTTCTGGAGCTGGAGAAACTATCTGGGATTACTTGCCCCATGACCCTCAGACATCAAATCAAAGGTGTAAAGGTTCAAAGTAAACTTGTGAGCAATGGACTAGGTCACCCAGACTACTCCACTGATCCATGAGAAATTTTATTTATAACCCAAGTTCACCTGCTTTGAGGAACAGTGGCATCAGTCTTGATCGCGCTCTTGTCTTCTCCCTCAATAGGTGTTTCACATTCCATTATGAATAGACCTGCACTTTCTCAGGGCTTCCCTTCAATGACCTGGTCTATCCCAGCCTGACAGGCCCTGCAATAAAACATTAAATGTAAAGTTAGAAAAACATAATGAGAATGACTTGGTAAATTTGACCCGGGTAACTCGTTAGCTTTGACCCTTAAAGTCCTTAAAGCAAAGGACGAGATAACCAGGCCTAGCTATAGCGATTGTGAACAGGAACCTTGGCATAAATAGGTTTATCACAAAGTTAGCCAGCAGAACTGGACTGATTCTATATGAGCCTCCATAAAGCTAAATGCAGAAAGCGAAAGAAGAATGGGGTTTCCTTCGATTATTGACTAATGCAGCGGGTACAATGCCTAAAGCCGAAGTCCGAATGCCGCAGCCGGTGACGACAGCTGCATGAACCATCTCGTTACACGCACGTGCAGGAGAGCGATCCCGTCGACAACCTGCGGGAGATGTTTGAAGTTCACTTTCTTTATCTTTAAAACAGATGTCAACGCAGTCGTCCAGATTTCGACAAGACAAGGTTCGAGATCAGAGTCGGCTGGCGTGATGACGCCACTTTTGTCCACCCCCTGATTTCAATCATTTATTGGCTGGCTGGAATCGCAAAGGAACTTTGGATAGCGCGCCCACGCTTTTGGCATCGGCGGAGCTTGAGAATTTCATTTAGGGGGGGGGGGCGGGTGGTATTCATGGGCGCTCCCCTGGCAACCTATCCACCTTTCAGGAAATTCAGCATCCAGATAGGCTCAGACGTTTATGTGAAAGTGTGGTGGTGCACCATCCTGCTGAAATGACACCGCTGTGTTTGGAAATATGTTTATTATCACAGGAACTGCATCATTTATTACCAATTCAAGATAACTTCTTTATGTGGAGAATACCTTCTTTTTTCTTAACTTTGTGTGGGGATACCTCAAAGACAAAGTATACAGCTATGAACCTGAAACAGTACAGAATTTGTGGGAGATGATACAACAGGAATCACTTAAAATCACAGTTGACACGTGCGCTACTGTACGTCAGGCTGTTAAGAAACGATGCTGTTTGTGTATGCATGCCAGTGGTGGACATTTCGAAAATCTGACCTAACTTTTTCTGTGCATCACATTTCCGCATATCTAATGCATGTAAAAGTATTTTTGGTTTGTGTTTAAACAATAAACTTTTTGAGATACCGCAAATCAAAGTGTTTATAAATAATTTTGAATCACCCTGGGTATTAATATTTAGTGAAAAATCTGCGGTAGGAGGATCAACTCTTGCGTAACCATCTACGTCTCAGGTCCAATTTATATACAATATCCAGCTCTTGATTTTGAAATTGCATGTCTCGAAACATATGAATATACTTTTTTGCTATTACCTTCATGAAGGTCATTAGGGGGGTATTTGGAAAAAAATTACGCACTCGCGTTGCTTTTCATTATCCTAACGTTTCTACATACGTCAATTACGAGTTTCTTCTCTCGTCATTTGCTGTAGGCAGAGGAGATCATTCAAACCCTCACGAATGACAGGACCTTGAGCGTAGACATGGAATCCAGGGATCAGGTGAGGCCCGGTGAACTATGTAACAGTGCATCGACCGGTTGGAAGTAAGGAGGTCTGATTGCAGGTGATGTATTTCGAGTCTCAGACGAGAATTCACCAGGTGAAACTGCAGGCGTCAGGATATTTCACCCTCAACAAGGCTCTTCTTACGTCCGTAAGTACCGGTTGACGCTCTACATACATGTACCAAACTAATTCATTTTAAAGACAGGAACTTACAATCAAGAAGGTGTAGAGGCATCAGCTGGTATCCCTTGTATCATTAAGAAGATAGCCTCTTATTTGAAAGCTTCTCACAACCCTTTCAATCATGTGTCTCGTGATATGTTCAGGAGGATATACCTCAATTAAATTATGAAAGAGATGCAGTGGTGAATCTTTATGAGATCAACCTGAATTCCCTTACTTAACGTCCACCCCCCCCCCCCCCGCGGATTTGGAACCAGGTGGATGTCCCACTAGGCATTATTACCTGTTGGAGCGATGTTCACCCGGGGAGAAAATCCACTGGGAGGGAAAATCCATCTGGCTCGAAATACAAGGATGCGAATGGATAGGTGGATGTCCACCTGGTTCCAAATCCACCTCCTATCCACCTGGTTGTTTGACCAGGTGGACCAAGTGGACGTTTTGCTAGGGTTGTGCTGCAGTGAGGTCATTTAACCTGAAACTGGTGAGACAGCTCGTCGGAAAGCGGTTCTAGAAGAAACCCCATGATCCTCGAACTATCCTCAATGACAATATATCCTTTTCCATTCTCATTGCAGGTGGCGAGTAATATGCTGACGTACATGATTGTTTTACTGGAGCTCCGTGTTGAGTGATCTATTTTGTGACTTCTTTCATTACTGCATGGAATTTAGATCCCATCGGCGCTCCTATCTTTGTTCAGGAGATCTCTTGAAAGTGCGTTCCTCCTGGCAATTCTGTCATACAGAATAAAGAATGACATACCATTCCTGTTCGATTCCCAGACTTGGCGACGATTTGACTGTTTGATTCAGCCAACCTTGAATGGTCTGTTCCCCACGAAAGACTGGAGTCGAAGCAGGTCGCTAACATTTTGACCTTGTCCGAATAGTTACGAGTGCAGATGCTCCCGCATTTCATTGGGGGTCAAGCAGCTGGGGAAAACTGATTGGGATGATGAGTCTCTGAGTTTCTGATATGGAATCAAAGGCGAAGTTTAAGGTGCCGATTCGCTATGGGTGTTGTTGGGTTTTGAGATGCACCCTTCGTCACCTTTTACTAGAATAAGTTCAGCCGTATATTTTCTAAATCTTCAATGTAATTCGAATTCCCCCCCCCCCCTTTTTTCCTCTGAATCACAAAATTATTGATTGCTGGAGTGAAGGAATCCATGCATGTAAGATGGAATATCATTTACGTAGATTCCTGGCTCCTGGGGATCAAAAGATTTGCTCCCATTTTTCCCTAGCAAAAATTGGGCTTTGACAAGTAGACGGGAAGAGGTGAGATCATGCCGCGTTTGAAGTGGTGAGAAGTGAATTGAAACTCACGACATTAAGAATTTGCAAAAAAGCCGTCTCTTCTCAAATTTCTTCTTTGAACAATGAATCTCTCAACACCTGAACGGAAAACACGTCTCGCCCCGTGAACGTGAGTGGAGGCAAGCGAACGCGCACGTCGCATGCGCGTCTGAATCTCACACGTCGCGCGTGAGAGACGCAAACGGCCTGAAGACTCGACAACTGCAAGATTTAAAGGAGAAAAAAAGTGTCTCTCGATGACGTGGCGTGAGAATGCATATTGACAGATGAATTAAGCATCTAGATTAGTCAAATATACAAGTCGTTCAACCTTCGGCATCGATAGCGATGGGCTTTCGTCACGGTCTCCATGAAGATAATGGAATAATTGGGAGGATAAATAAGCTTTGGGAGATAGAAAGAGAGAAGATGGCGTCTCTTATGGATTGGCTCTGGACTCTCTGTCATTTGGGAACGTTCCTTGGGATTCTACCTGTGCAAAAGGTGGAGAATGAGACGAGGAAGGTGACTTTTCGGTTCTGGAGTTTCGCCTTCTTGTGGGCTCTTCTGCTCATTTGCGTAGACATAATTTCCGTCGCCTTCGTGATTCCGCTCTTCTATGAGTACTTCGATCAGTACGGGTACACGCTGGCAGATCGCATCAGTACCCACGTCATGGTAGCTGCCGGATTCGGCATCGTTTTCACCTACGTCTCGGCTCAACTACTGACGGCGCGGAAGATCCCGGCGTGGCTGGAGGAACTCGATGCCGCTTGGAGGGGATCGGAGTCGGTGGCGGGATCCCCGGCGGCTGCATCCGCCCGTCGGTCGTTTCTCTTCACGGTTCTCGGCTGCGTCTGCTTCTACCTCGCGGACCTCTCGACGGCCTGGATCATCCTGCAGGGGTTCTTTCGGCCGGCGTCCTTGGTGTGCAGCGTTCTCACGGTTGTCGTCGAGGCCGGGATCACGACTCTCTACCTTTTCGTCTCTCTTTCGTGCCAGGTGAGACGTGGATATGGCGATCTGTAAATGTTGCATGCGCTCGAGTGCTTCGTCTTTGAAGCTCTGCAAGGAAAGGTCGGGTGGAGACGACTCTGTGTTCAAGTTTGTCGACGCACTCGTCAGGAATGGCAATTTATTCATTTCTGACATGTTAAAACGGCAATGAGCTTTCTCGGCGATGTGGACCTAGTCAAGAAGATTGCAGTCCACAGGTCCAATTCTCAAATATGTTCCGCCATATCTTATCTCCCGTCATGACTGTTATAAGTTAAGCCAGTCCGCGTAGGAGTCCAGAAAACTGCTGGGAGTACCCACAATAATCAGTTCCCTATCCTGTACCATCAACTCCTTGAAATACCTTTTCCAGAGAGAAATGTGGTAAATCATGAATATTATAGAATGTTATGAACTTCGTTTCTGGTGAGCAATCACGAAGTAGCTATTTCCGAGATCTGCAATAGGTCAAATGTTCTTTCGTGTAGGCGAATGCCTCATAACATCTATAAGAATACAAAGAACTTGGAAAGTAAGGTTGCAGTATTTTTCTTTCTGTAAAAAAACTGCCTGTCTAAAATTAGACGAAGAGCTAGGCTGGTAAGTAGGGGTCAGTCCATTACCGACGAATAGGATTCTCCACTATTCCTCATCTAATTACATGTAATTTGCGAACGTTCTCATAGTCTCATCGTATATCTAGCTGTTGGCGTCTTCACGTTCACCCATGCGGAGAGCCATAATGCTCTGGAATCGCTCTCTGACATTGGTGGGAAACTATTCCAGCCAGGATGCGACATCATCGCAGTATAAACTTAATTCTACCAGCAGTTCAAAATAATGTGATAATGTTTATGTTTCCCCCATGATGTATCATCAGTAATTTAAAAATATTGTGGTTTCAGCCCTCTAATGCTGTTGTAAAATAATGATCGCTCTCTCCGTGACAGATTCTTAAGGTGATCCTAGAGGAGCGAGCGTGGGAATTGCAGAACGCTACGAAACCCTTGAGGAGGGGAGAAGTCTTGTCCCTCTACTTGGAGACGCATCTTCACGTGTCTCACCTGAGCAGGCGACTCTCGTCCACGTTCCATCCCACTCTCTTCCTGAGTTTTCTCGCGGACATCGTCTTGACCATCGTGTTCGCTTTCTTCATAATCTCGTGGGCCCTGGAGAATTCGTGGCCCATGGTTGCGATGTCCTTGGCGAAAACTCTGTTCTGCAACTCTCTTCTCGTCTCCCTCTGTCGAACTGCTGACGGTCTCTCCTCCAAGGTCACGTTCATCTGCATTTTTTAAAAGTCGTGATTATGAATTTATGCCTGATTTAAAGTTTCCTGGAAGTTTTTGGTGTGTGCCGAAACAAGAAGTAGTCCTAAGTCCCCTTTTCGTTGTTTTTTTGCTCGTTGTCTTGCTCCATGAAAAATCCCTCAGGTTCCTACTTTTCGACGCCTTGCCTTTAAAATATTGTATTTTTCTGTCATTCCTATTCAAGTGATACATGAAAATCCAAGATCTGTATTATAATAACAAAGTACAGTAGTTGTTTCCCAATTATAGCACAACTCTCTTTTCTCACTGTTATTCGATTTGCATCTATTACCTCGTTCTATAATAGCTACGGTACCGATCTCTAAAAGAAAGGTATTTGGGAATGACAGGCGCTAAGTGGACCGATTCCTATTATAATCTTTTAATTCTCACATCCAGCTAATCTATCATCTCTAGTGAACATGGAATTTGCCCATCTCTGAACTTTTAAAGATAGCAACATCGCAATTGCCTTCTTGAAGTCTTCGCGTTAGTCCCATAAGAAATCCGCATCCACGTTGTTTTCCATTATCGAGTGAGTAGTGCATGTTTTAATCGCGCCGTTCTACACTCTTCCTTCGCTGCAGGCGGAGGAGATCAGTCTAGCACTCACGAACGACAAGACCCTGAGCGTAGACATGGAATCCAGGAATCAGGTGAGGAGCCTCCACCCTCGCGATCGAGTCTCGAACCGTGCGTTGACCAGCGAAGGCTCAGGAGGATGGTCTGGTTGCAGGTGATGCATTTCCAATCCCAGACGAGGTGCCATCAGGTGAGGCTGCAGGCGTCGGGATATTTGACGCTCGACAAGGCTCTTCTAGCCTCGGTAAGTGCCCCTGTGTAAATACACTTGCAGCTCGTTGAACCTGAGCTGCGTTAATTTTTGGCGACAACACTTTTCTTAAAGATCTGATTACGTGATAGCAAAAGTGCAATAATGTTGCCGCATAGTCCCAGGATATACAGGCATAACCATACAATGGTGAACACATATATTCCATCACCTTGAAGTGCATATTTCTTTGAAGAATTCAAAGTATAGAATTTTGTGCGACATTATTAAATTATTATGCTATTACTTCAGTCATTGTTTGCGAATAAAAAGGATCTTATCTGAAACATATGAGCCAGTTGACTATCGATCATACATTTGTAAGCTTGCTTTGAAAGGTCATGAAGGCCATAGGAGGACTAAGCAAATATTATATGAATATATGTAAGTAGCTATTGTACATCTGTGAGATGTTTCTGTAAAATATAATATTCTTTGATGCCGATAGTTCCTTGTAATGTGACTTCAGTCCTCTGTGAAAACTTTGCGCAGCGAAGTTTTCACATCAACGGTAAAGGTCCCTGAGGCTCAACAGAGTCCGCTCCTGGTCCGGCTGTGACTGAATGTGCCTGCTGCAGTATGCTCGTACCTGAGCGAGATGGACTCGACTGCTCACAAAAGCATTAAACGGGAACGTAACGCTATAACATGCTGAAAAATGTATTATGCATTCAAGGATTTTGACGGGAGTTTTTTTTTTTTAGAAAGAATCGGATTTCACTTCCTGTATGATTCTTACCAAGTATTTTACTATGAATCTTCTGGTTATTCGGGTTGCATCAATACTTTGCATGCATCTCATCCATTCTTATTGCAGGTAGCGAGCAACATGCTGACGTACCTAATAGTTCTACTGCAGTTCCGTGTCGAGTGACTCATTTCGTGCCCTGCTTCATTACTGCAATGAATAAAGGACGTGTCAGCTCTCCATGTTCTCTCCGGCGTTGCAGTCACATTCCTACATAACCTATTATTTCCGTTTAATTTTCGTATGAGAGAGAGAAATCTCTCGGGGATCCGGTTTCTTGGCAGATATTCTAAACTTACATGATAGGAGCGAATAGATATTTCTGCACGTTATCTGCAAAAGCGTTGAGGGAAGATTCTCAAGATATAATAGTCTCCCTCTTCTATGCCTCAGAAAATCTCTCAATTTCTTCCCGCATTTTTCTACGAAGACGAATTCCTCTCGTCATTGACAGCCAGAGGCAGAGAGGGGCATTGAGATCTGACTGTGATGTTTTTTGTTCACCTCAGTTCAACATTGGTTCAATTTGTCAAAATGAACATGTCGCATTCAGCGCTGCTTTCTGTTGGTAATTAGAGCACGTCCAAGTGAACTCTAGTAGATTTCACGAGTCAAAAACTTCTGGAAGTTTCAGGACTAGGCAAGGTTCATGGATTTTCAACTTTAAACACCGTCCAGATACACACCTAGTCTGTGTCTTGGAGCCCATCATCAGAACGTAGAATGAATAATACTATCTCGTTCTTGTCAGAGAAATGATTCGGCTTTGGTGATGGTATGCACTTAGCAAAACAGCTTCGAAGTTGCTCCCCAATCATTCATAGGCCCTCTTCATTTATCTATTTGGCAAGAGTGTGATTGACACTGCTTTTTACCAGGCCTGGATAAATACCCTGTGGCTGATAACAAAAACACAACAAAGAAATTCACCATACGTTCTAAATTGCCAGGAACATCTACTCTAATTTCTCAAGTTGTGAACTCGGGCACCAGGGTGACTGAATTTTCCCTTTAAGCAAGGAAGGTGCTTCGAAGAGAGTTAAGAAGCGAGCAACTTTTCCCGGCCAGGATTGTTTCCATTTCTGGAAAGAATTTAAAATCGGAAGTGTATGTAGAGCAGTCCGAGATCGCCGGAACAAGGGAAGTCGATCGTTAATTCAATGGCAAATACAGATAAGGATACCGACTGTACAAAATAAGTGTTCCGACAAGCACTCGACGGAGTGCTGGATGAGAAAAGAAAATGATGACTATACGGTCAGATAAAGGGAAGGCCATTTGTGTGCCTGACGTTGACCAGTATGGAGGGAAAGGTGACGACTATTCGGTGCCTTCGTTTTCTTATATCGGTCGGTGCTGTTCTTGGGATTCTTCCGATCAGAAATGCCTTGAACATGAAGAATGGATTTGCTGAACTCAGCGTCTGCCTCTTCAGTTTCCCTTCGCTCTACGCTGTCGCAATTACCATATCTAGCCTCACCAGCATGATTGTATTCTACGTCGTGGGTTTCCAGTACTTTATTGAGATATCTTCGTCGTTGGGAGACCAGGTCGGAAACCACGTCTGTCTCGTGGGAGGACTGGGTGCTTTTCTCACGTACGTTTTCTCACATTTGAGCTTGGCGAAGCGACTGCCGCCCCTCATGATAGAGTTGGAGTCCGTGACGCAGAGGCTGGAACCTCTGGTAGGACCGAGCAACGGCGTCATGAAGAAGTCCTACGGTGCCACCGTTCGTTGTTTCATCGTTGTTTTCCTGTGCGAGGTCACCACAACGATCATCATGGTATCGGAGGTTTCCAGGACTACTGACGCGCATGGGATGGTCTACGTGGTATCCACTGGGTTCATGCTCTTGTCAGAAGCAGGCCTCATGCTCCTCTTCCTCATTCTTCTGCTCATTTGTAAGGCAAGAGAACTAGCATTTTCAATGGCATCTTCTGTAAATGGGTTACACGCAATTTCCTGCATCTTCAATGCAATAGATAAATTTCTCAAGTACCACGTTCGTTGTGAATAGGCAGAAAGTGGCACTCAACCTTGATCATGTTGCAAGACATATGCTACATGCTTCACTTACCGTCACCAGCCCGCCATATTCCGGGTCGCTTCTAGACTTATATATTCTTCATTCACAGCTTCATTACAAAGGTTATGCGCACTTAACACTTATATATTCCCATACACTTTCGTTTTTCCATGCTTATTTAATATTTAATATTTTCCTGAATCATATATTACGACCAGACCATGATAATTCTGCATTTTCAAGTATCTGTTCCTAAATTGCATAATGAAAGAAGGAAAAGGAAAGGAACTTTTGTTAAAACAGGAAGGCAAGTCTTTAATTGCATTTGGAAGCTGCAGGGAAACGTGGGTACCATCTAGTGGGAACTCTGGGTACTGCATCTGGATCATGCCATGTAACATGCAATTGGGGAAGCGCCAGCTACATTACGGAAAGAGAGCTGGTGGTCACCACCTGTACTAGATCGCGGACCATATGTTGCAAGGCCCACTTGCGATTCTCCCGCCACTTCGGGGCCACCACGGGACCATTCCGCCTCCGCTAGGAGTCCCCCATTATAGCACCTGGACCGCCTCTTGTCCCTTCCCCTTGTGCTACTTGAGTCTCTTTACCGTATATTAACCCGTACTTGGTTCCATTTCCCTTTCTTACACCTGGGATATGTAAGACTCAAAGCGATGAAACTCGTTTAAATTTCATTTAATGCGTGGTCATAACTTTAGCAAGCATGAGATGAATTCAAAATGTTAAAACCTGTATGCAAATCTCAACCTGTCTGGGAGGAGGGACAATCGAGAACAAACACGGGTTCTCGTGAGACCTCCGTGTAGAGGCAGACAATGCATCTAGGGTGCACACTAGGCGGATTTCCACTAAATTTTCCTCCTGCCTTTGCATGAGGCAAAAAAAGAGCACCACAAGAAATCATATCTGAAGGCTTGCAGGTCACAGCATACCACAACATGTCACAGGAAACAGCCCAAGACGGCAATCAACAAATTTCGCATGAATCCTCCAGAACAATCCTTCCTTTTGCAGATCCTGACTGTGTGCTTGGAGGAAAAGGCCTTTCAGCTCCAGCGAGATGAGTTGGTCTTCTGCAAAAGACCAGAAGTCGGATTGCGCGTGTATTGGGAAATGCATCGGGACGTGTGGAAGCTCTCCCGCTCTTTCTCCTCCGCCTTCCATCCGACGCTCATCCTCTCTCTGGCGACGATGATCGTCAGCAACATAGTCTATATCTACTTCTCCTTCTCTAAGCTGATGGACCACAATTGGAGTTTTGCCGCGACCGCCGTGTTTAGGGCCTTATTCTTCGATGTCCTCATAGTTGCCGTCGCTCGAGGTGCAGACCGCCTCACTTCCAAGGTAAAAGCCATCGGCCAGAAGTTTCAAATTGGTGTTTCTCTTATGTCTAAAGGCAGTCCATAAAAATTCACGTCGTCTCCTGACGGTAATCTGATGGTACAAGTAGCAACCCAGTCAAACTTTCCCAGTTTACCTCGTGATAAACCCTTTCAGTCCTGGCGGGACTCAAGGTGTCTCACTTTTTTCGTGTGTTTTGCAGCGCTATATACCGTAGTGATGCAAAGCCTTCAGGCCAAGCAAGACTTCTGATCCCCAGTGACCTCTTTTGAAATTTGTATTCTTTTGTGGTTAATGACGTTTCATTATGAACAGTTGAAAAAGAAAATATGTTTTTACATTACCTATTTTTTAAAGTTCAGGATTAAAAGGGTTAAAGCTTCCACCACTGGACACAGTGACGCAACATTTCGCTCCATTAGATCCAACCCAAGGGAAAGCTCATGCTTTGCCAGTAATGTCTCACCTAAAAAAGAGAATGTCTGATTGCCTCGTGTAAAAAGTGTGCATCATCGCATTTTGATACTGTATACAATATTTCGACTAAGCTGGAGCTACTACTCAACCCCATCATCGTATGTCCCGCGAAGACGCAACTGATATTATCACAAAGCACACAGATCTGGAGGAGTTTCATTTTTTTCCTCTTTTCCTTTCTACAGTCGGAGGAAATGATGCAGAGCATGATCGACTTCCGGAATCCCCCAGACAAAGACGTCCAGATCCAGGTTAGTGTGAGAACTCTCGTGAGCCTGATTAGATCCATAATATTGCATCTGCATGAAAGAAACCATTGCTGGCCGCTTCCACTCGTTCTAATTTCTCAATTCAGAGAGAAGGCACCTCTGCTCATCGCACAGGCGAATTATGAATGCTTTATGACTGTTACAGGCCATGTACTTACTCAACCAGACAAGGAGCCATCCAGTGCAAATCACTGCTTCAGGGTATTTCGTTTTGAACAAGGCTCTCCTCATTTCTGTGAGTTTTCCTCTGTGCACTCCTTTTCTACACGTACCTTCAGAGAGGATCCACTTCTGGTCGTATATTCCTTGATTATGCGTGCTGTTTCCATTCTCAATCCGCTGATTTCAAAGCAGAAAATTCATGCTGAGGCGGCACTCTCAAAAACAAAAAACTCAAGGGAAAGAAAGAAATTCATTGGTCTGAGTGTCTTGGGTAGGGGCTAGGGATTGGGACGATGTAGGCATATTCACAAGTGGATCTACTCCAGAGAAACACCAGTTTGCCAGAGATATCTCCAGAGCGACTCCAGAAGGAGGTGGGGTAGTCTGGGCTTTGGCTAAGAGGTCATTATCATGACTCTAGTATGCGTTGATCGGGTCACAGGTGAATGCGTCCCCATTCACTTGCGACCAGGTTATGACTAAAAGTTCATGGTTTTCTGCAGGTTCTGGGTTTCAAACAAAAGGTTTCATTGGAAGTACTTACTGCGGTTGGAAATCCCCGCAAAGAAAGTACTGAATGTATTACAAATGGGTAAGGTCTTGCATTTTGCCATGTGGGTGTTTGCTACTGACATCAACCACTCTGAGAATTTTATTTTCAAAATGGTATGAATGAAACATTCGTTCGCATTTGCCTTCCAAACACTCTCTGATGAACTGAGTGCTCAAATGTGTAATAGAAGTACCCCTAGGTATGCACTGCAACCAGAGAAATTCCTTTTAAAATAAGTATAATCCTAAATTCGCACAACTTGGTCAAGTTTATTTCTCAGTACGGTGTTTACAAATTATTGGAAAATACTAGCATTTGTCAAAGAAATTCGCCATAGATTTAGTTTTAAAACTTGCTCTGGATAACGCAAGTTTCCTTTAAAATTAAAATTAAAATCGAAGAAACGAGAGAAGAGATGATTTCACTTCGTGACCTGTTTTCGTTTCTATTCATACAGATTGCGAGCAACGTCGTCACCTACCTCATCGTTCTCTTGGAGTACCGGATGGGATGACGTAAATTAAATGCGCTGTCAGAGTACGGACTCTGGGTGCTCATGCATGATCCGATAAATAAAGGTTGTAAAAGAGGAGGAAGCAGTTGTTCATTGCCCAGCAGCTTCACACTTCCAAAATGAGATGACGGGGACTTCATGACTTCGCCACCATCAAATGCAACAATTTAACCAAGCAGGAGCTAGGTCAGATTAGTTCTCATCTTGGAGGGAGCTCTTGGCAGGGAAATACTTTTCCCTGTATCTGTAGGTCTTTCTGACGTTCCTGCAAGCAATAACTGATAAAGCTCAGTACAGTCACAGGCTTTCTTCCCCAGGATAAAGAACGTCATTGAATATATTAATGGAACATCATCTTCTGTGCACCATATTTGTTTCCTTTTTTTAACACAAAACAAGAAATACTTAAAAGTGGTGGTTTTAAAAATAGGAAGGAGAGGAAAAATGACAGAATGCCCACCAGTCATTCAAATGTCCACTCGTTGGATACCGTTAGATAGTAGTAACTAATGGAGGAAAAGAAGTTACAGTATACCCAAGGCCCTTATTCTCTGAATCAGTTTGGAAGACAACTCACAGCCCTAGATCAAACACTTCTCAGTTAGAGAAGAGTGGGCAAAGTGACTCTTCTATCCTGCTGAAGGCCAACCTATCGGAGGGGGCCAACATACCCACGGTATGACTGGTGCTTGATGGATAAGTTTTGGCTGTGCAAGGGGAGACAGAAATTCTACTCTCCCGGGTGAAATTCTGTTTCACCACTGCTTGGCATTAAAGTGGCATGCACTCTCAGGGCCAATGCAAACTGACTACAAATGCCGCACTGCAACCATCTAGAGCTTCTTGACTTAAAAAAATAAATACTGTAAATATAAAATTCTTGGACGATGGAAAATAAGTAGGAATATAAATGACATTTAAAATATGTCTTGGAGATTTATTTCGAATCGTATAGCTATGTATCTCGCTCATGGAGATTCAACGGTGATGATTGGCATCATCTACCGCCGAAGTCATTTTCCACCAATGAGTCACCAAATTATTGTCTAAAAATTCCATAACTTGCAGTCAATAGATACGTAGCACGAACAACTGCGAAGATGCGTACTGCGACTGAATGCAAAGCTCCCACGCATCTCCTATGCGACCGATTGCAACGAACTGCGACGGTCGCAGCGGTCACAACGCACCTCTTCGCTGTCAGTGTGCATGGCCTCTGAGATGTGGAGGGGTGATAATATACTGGTCTCCTGCTCCTAAAATAGAATCCACGATCATTTCCAGCCCTCACAGTCTGCACAGACGCCTGATAGTCGTGCATAATGAGATTGTTCTATAAGTCATAGTCAGTTCTATTTATCTATTGACTGAGACCTCTGCTCACAATCACAAGGCAAAGGATATTCCAATGGCAGCAAACACTTTCTGGGACGAGGACATCGGGAGTTATCTTCCCCTATTTCCTAACAATTTAGTACAGGAGTGCTAGATACCTGTGCCTTGTACTCAAAAACAAAAATTCCACCTGAAACCTTAAATCTTAGCCATAGCCATTCGATGTCACAATGGATTGCCATCAGCTAATTAAACTGAATTAAAGTTATATTGAATTTCCCGAGCTTTCTCATGCACTACGCATCTAATTATCTGTTCTGATATTCTTTATTGGATACTATATGAAGCTTTTACTTCATTTGAGGCAATAAACATAATTCATTTATTCAAGTATCAAGGCATTGAAAAACCTGCGGCATACGCAACACTTGCTCAGATCAAAAGTTTCGTCATGGCGGGACCCGCGTCTCCAGAATCGCGCCAGTACTGAGTAGTGGCTGCTTGCCAGATGAAGCTTTTGAATTTTTTAAGTATGAACCGCATTTTGAGCCTAACGTTAGTCTTAGGCCTATGCTATCCCTTGGAAACTCAAGGAGCTCAAACATGGATTGGATGTCAGAAGAAGCTTCCTTGATTTCACAATAATGATTAAGTTAATGGGTTCAACCTAAAGCAGATATCTACTTTCATAGCTTTCTTGGTGGATTAACTTAAGTTCAGATTGGCTTCTCGTTGAAGCTCTTGGAAGCTGGGTTGGTGTATGACTGCGTATCATAGGCTAGGCTCTTGTCAGATGACTTTAGATGCAAAGTTTGAAAGCATGTGAAGGTTTCAAACTTCTCTTGATGTTGGGCAACATGGAAGATTATTTCCCTTCATGAAAAATTTAGTTAGAATTTTTCAAGAGCTGCTCTTGCACTGACCACCAGAAGGGTTAATGTCAATCAACTGCCACTATTAGCGCTTGAGTTTCAAGAATTAATCTCAGAAATAATTTTGTAACTCACATGATTTTCAACATGTTAGTCCAATAGCACTCTTCCAGCAGACCTTGTTCATCCATTAAGCTACCCTTAACTCCCCAGAGGTGAAAAAATTGAGGTATTGAATGAACAGGGCCCAGGAAAGGCAGAGCCTCAAGTGTTCATTTAGTTCATCTTTTGGTTGCTGTAACATTAGATGCACAGGTTTTTTTTTACTGCTGGGCTCTTTCTTATTTAAAATGATATCCTCTTGGCACATCTTTGTCATGTAATATGTTCAGTGTGCAGATCATGAGTTCTGTAGTATTCCATTTTTGTGCTCAAGCTGAGAAGCCATGTCTGATGCCTTGATCAACATAGCCTCAACAACTGTGGATTATACTGGGGTAGTGGAGAGTCATGGTGGCAGCCTTTATGGCTACTTCCCATTTCCCCTGATATTCCTTTATTAAGGCTATAAGGCTATCATGGCTGAGTCAATGATAGGTCTTGTCTACTGTTAAGGTAGGGCTCAGACTTTCTTTGCTTCTGCCCTGATTAGGGATGGGCTAGTCTATTGACCACCTTTAAGTCAACTGTTATTTAATGCTCTTTATTTTTATTCAATGAATTAAGAAATATTTTTAGAGCTTAAAACCATGATAATTTATCCTTTGGCACTAAAACCAAAGAGTGAGTTCCATTTTAAAGTTATATTTATACAGCCTGCCAAGCATCTGGACTATGGCACCTATTGGTTTTGAAAATATTATAGCAAATGCTCAAACTGCCATGACCAGTAGAGTGTGTGCGCAAGCAACGCCTGCTGTTCAAGGTCTTATGGTCTTAATGACTTTGAAAGTTAAGATTGAAGAACTAAGTTATAGCTTAAAAACTTTAGTGTATTGCAATGTCTATCATGGTCTTAGGCAATAGTCTGCATCAGAGCATCAAATTATTCCCAAAGTCTGATCAAGGGGCAAGTGCTTGGATTATGCCTAGGTTAATGCCAAAAAATATTAATCTAGCTATGAAGAACTTCCTTGTGTAAGGCAACTGATTTTTCTGCAAAGCAAGGTTGGCCTATGTTAAAAAAAAAAGATCTTTTAATGGTGCTCTGCTTAGATGAAGGACTATATGGTATGCCTTGAATTAAACTTTAGTTCAGTTGGTCCAATTTGGCTGGGTTAGACTGTGGTCTGGGTTTCAATAACCTTATGGTCATCATTCCTCCACTGGGAAATTTTTAAGCCTACACCTTAGCCACTAGGTAGCTAAGGTGTTGGCTTAAAAAACCATCTGCGATATGAAATGAAGCTATAAGGGAACAGTTTGGAAATTTTTTCAAGATAGAGGGAATTGGCTGTAAAGTAATTGCAATATGCAAATTCCTAGAAATTACAATCTTGACCAATCAACATCCCATGCCTAGCCTGTCATTTATGAGTTTTGACATACAAATGGAACACAAACTGCAAGAAGAATAAAAGTAAAAGTTGGCCTTATTGACCCTAATTGACTAGTCAATAACTTATCCCTAGCCCTGATCCAGCCCAGGTTATCTAGGCTTGAACTTTGGTCTTGCTTATACTTTCACATTTTTTATGTGATGAGTTCAATGGTGCCAGTTAAACTTTGCATTAATATGCTATATTACAGCTTGGGTAATGTTAGTTATATTTAAGTGAAAATAACTGCAGCAATTCTGTAGTTATTGCAACAAATGGTAGAAGGCATAGATAGGTAAAGATTGGAAGCTGTTGATGGCAGTAAAAACAATAGGTTTCTGTGTATTATACCTCTGTGAAACCATGGGGGAAAGTCCTGAAAGGCTAAAACTATGTAGGACTGGACATAGTTTTAGCTTCATGCTACATTTAAATCCAATTCCACTTCATGCTTGCCACCCATGCTAATTTTTATGGACCAGTTAAAAGCCAAAATACCTCCTTGCATTCTGGTATATTTTCAAGAATTGCTCAATTTGCTCAGAGATATTAAAAGCCCTGGTGGCATGGCATTGAATCATGCAATTTCTCCTATTCTCAAGGTATAGCCAAAGTGTCTCTTTGTTCAAAGAATTGAGAGGCTGAAACTGTCATGAGCAACCTTTCCCCATTCATCACAATCTGCAGTGAGATAAAAGCTCTTAGATTATGTCTTAACTGTCCTTAGGTCTGAAGTACCAAATGACTGGATAGACTTTAGATTTATTTGTTTTGAATAATGTTGACAGTTTTTGACCTGGTTCAACAATTTTTTTTTTCTCTTGTTGCATTCATCCTTGATGTTAGTTTGCTATTTACTGGAGAAACAAATTAAGAGATTTCATTTAAGAATTTCTTGGAATCAACTCTTCACTCATTTCAGAATGCCTGACAGAAGAGGAAGCAACAGAAATGTTAAAACTCATGTGAGGGGAAAAGAACAGGAATTTGGTAACTAGATGTTGGAATATTCTTTGTTACCAGCCTTGTGAAAGAAGAGGATAAGAAGGGTCTTTTGATCCTGAAAAGAGTATTTTAATTATTAATGGCATAGAGGTAGCCTCTGCTTACTTTCCATGAAAAAAATGTGCATCTCAGAGAAATTAAAAGCCCTGGTGGCATGGCATTGAATCATGCAATTTCTCCTATTCTCAAGGTATAGCCAAAGTGTCTCTTTGTTCAAAGAATTGAGAGGCTGAAACTGTCATGAGCAACCTTTCCCCATTCATCACAATCTGCAGTGAGATAAAAGCTCTTAGATTATGTCTTAACTGTCCTTAGGTCTGAAGTACCAAATGACTGGATAGACTTTAGATTTATTTGTTTTGAATAACATTGACAGTTTTTGACCTGGTTCAACAATTTTTTTTTCTCTTGTTGCATTCATCCTTGATGTTAGTTTGCTATTTACTGGAGAAACAAATTAAGAGATTTCATTTAAGAATTTCTTGGAATCAACTCATCACTCATTTCAGAATGCCTGACAGGAGGAAGCAACAGAAATGTTAAAACTCATGTGAGGGGAAAAAAACAGGAATTTGGTAACAAGATGTTAGAATATTCTTTGTTACCAGCCTTGTGAAAGAAGAGGATAAGAAGGGTCTTTTGATCCTGAAAAGAGTATTTTAATTATTAATGGCATAGAGGTAGCCTCTGCTTACTTTCCATGAAAAAAATGTGCAGGAGGCTCTTTAGCAAAGCAGAGGCCACCTGGTGAATGCAGGTTGTGGAAGGGACCAAAACAGATCAGAATGATCAGCTTGCCTGCTTTGCAGAAACTCTTACTCCAGGCTTTTGGCTGAAGCAAGGGCTGAACTCCTCAAGTCAGTTCAAGACTACACCACCTCTATATAGTTTTTTTTATATGTACATTAACTTCCTAAAAAGGGAGTGCTTTTGTAGTCGTAGCACATGTGGACATTCAATTATAATGAAACTTAAGCTTAAAACCTTTGACTCATGTATAACTATTGAATCATTTTTCAATTGTTAGCCTTATGGTATTATTCTGGTTGTATTATTATGTGCCACTTTGTATAATCAGCATGCCTTACCTCCATGAAGTATCAACCATCTGCATGAATTTCATTAGGCCTGGGTTGACCAACATATGACCTATGTATCAGATGCAACCCCTAGAACAATATGTCTATCCCTCAGGTTTCAGCATATGCCAACCTTGACTGTGGAGATTAGTCCTCATGGCTAGATTACTTACTAAAAGTAATAGGATGTTACTGCATCAGATACTTAGAAAACTATTTTGTTGTATTCTGTATTTTCCTGCATTTTATTCCTTTCTCTGTGATTCAGGTTCTGTCAAACATGTGAACTGGTCCACGATGGAGAAGTGTTGTGTAGATTGGGGAATTATCTCACAGACTTGAATTGAATACATTTACCAGCTAATTAGAGCTTGAAGGACAAGGATGTATTTAGTGTGAGTTTAACTTTGAGAACCTTCTTTGATTAGGCATAGTTCTTTATGCATGTGCATATGCTTAGGCACGATGTAAAATTCTTGGGTTTGGGCTCAAGTAATCACATATTTCTTCTGGGATTGGGTCATCCCTCATCATGGATCAGCTTTCAGCATTGTGTAATATGTCTTGATCCCAAAGCATTGTAATCCTAGCATGTCTCAGCCTGTTGAGAATCTTATGATATATGCCTACTCTGTATATGCATATTCATCTCATACAACTGTTCTGGTAAAAATTTAATTTTGATTGTCAGAAAATGACAGTGGCAGGAGAGTAGATGTGTTACCTGAGATGATCCAATGCTTTTATTTATTTGTGCTCATGATGAAAATCTCTTGAATCCAATTAAGTAACTCAATGGTCTATCTAGGGGAAACCAGTAGAATATGATTCAGGATTAATATGGATCACAGGATTTGATTTACTGCTAGTGAAGGTTTCCATTTTGTCATGGGGAGCAGTAGCCATGATTGAAGCATTCATGATAGTTTGAGTTTTTGCTTATGCATTCGAGAGTGATTCAGATTCTAGCATTTTTTATTATTCACATGCAATAGGACATTGGATGATCCAGATAGCAGCACTTAATTCATTTGTAACATACCACACTTTAATCATAATACCCATAATAAACATTTTTTATGAAACAAAAAATTGCAGTATCAAACTAGGTATTGGAATTGCAGCAGCATTCCAAATGCTGCCACATTTCTTCTTCCTGGTGCACTGCTTTTGTGTACTTTTATTGGAGGAGTTGTCTATACTAAGTTTCTAAGAATGGGAGCGTATAATGGTGTGATGAGTGACCCAACTTTGAGGTCATTGTCATTGCAGAAGGAATGAAAGAAAGAATGACTAGATGCTAACATTAAATCTCTTGAGACAGAATGACTTGATGAGATGTATGGAATGATTTTCCATGGACAGTTCAATCAAGCATCTCAAATTACATGGAGTTGCTTGAAGCACTGCCCAGGAAGATTGATAGTGCACATAGGATTTTTAAATTTACCAGGTGGCCAAAATAAGTCCTGAACTTTGCATGCCTGCAAGACAGTGTATCATAGGAGTTATCTACAATAAATTTATTGGCTTTTACTGCAATCTTTGTAGGTAATGTAGCAAAAATATCATTGAAATTGATAAACTACATGAGTAAAAATATTTCTCTGGAAACTGTTTCTGTACCATTTGTTTCATGAAAAATATTCCTATATTTTATATAAAAACATTCTCTGCTTTCTGCACTTCTCATTCATGCAAAAACATTTTCAGAGAAATGTATAAACAAAGAATCCCCAGCAATTTTCTCGGGACTATGTGCTTGATGCCAGTTGAGTGTGACTTAGAATCAGAGAGTCATGGTAACCTTCAGCAGATTTGCTCTAATGTGATTGAAATGACTGGTTGAGAATGTATAAACCTCTCAGGGTGATTTGCTGTATCCCGTACTTGCAACATTTTTCTTTGCCACAGGCGGTTAGCCATTTAAAAACCAGCTTCAGGGGTTAATAACCCTGCAGTCTCTCAGAGGTCATCCCAAAAAAAGTCAGATTAACCCCTCAAGCCAGTATTTAAATTGCTAACTGCACAGAAAACGTTGCATGTATGGGCTACGGTAAACCAGCTTGAGGGGTTATGTATGTAGGCCTAGTAGGAAATTGTCCATATGGTCTTTGCATATTTTTTATTTCACCACAGGAAGAAAGATCCTCGAGAGACAAGGAAACCTGGTGGTGAGCAAGAGGAGGAGCATAATATTTCAGAATCATCTTTGGGACTTGTTCATATTGTCCCAGGTGCTGATCTTAGCAGCTTTTCTGAGTCATTCTGGGACACAGGCAAAGTTTCATCAGCATCAGGAAACAAAATGTCACAGCGTTCAGCATTCCTGAATGAAACTTCAAGAAATCGAGATGACAATGTAAATGACAGCTATCATCTAAGGTATTCTCAGGAATCCATTGGAAACAAGACATTGAGTGCAACCCAGGAGTTCCAGTTTAGCAGAAGTTTTCAGAATGCAATATTTGATGACAGGAAACCTTTAGCAGGTATTTCTCGTGTGTCTTCAACTAGTGACATTTCATCTAAGCTCAGAAAGTCACCATTTCAACTCCACAATCCAAGTAACATGAGGCATTCTGGATTGAAGGGAAGTGGTAACTCCACACCTTCACTGATCCAAGGAGTCCGAGCATGTCCTTTTGATGAATCCTTTCGTTCAAGGAATTCTTCATGTTTACTCAGCCCTGATCCAGCTGCTCTCTCCTATGATGATGAAATATTTCTCTCAGTGGATGCTGCAGAGAAGCGGCTGGTGGAAGATGAAGTGGCAGTTTCTGAAGCAAACGCAGACTTGCCACAGGCCAGCCCTCTCCTGTCTGACATCACTCCTAGTTCCATGTACTTGCGAGAAGTTAATGGGCCAATTGGAGAGGAAGCAAAATCTATCAGTGTCTATTTAAGAGAAAAATCAGGTCCTCTGGGAACTTTGGAAGGCCTCTGTGATCGACCATTCTTTGGAATTCCTGGAATTCAACCTGAACAGTCTTCTGTCACTTTGAAAACACCAGATTGGATAAGCAAATCAAAACATGCCACTTCATCTCTTCACATGGTGCAGGAAACAGCTGAAAATGAGGCCTCCTTCCATGCTGCTGGAGCAGATGCCTCTTTTTTCATTCATTCAGAGAAGGATGATGTTGAAGATGATTCCACTCTCCCTGCCCATGGAATAGACACCATTGCAGAGATTCTTGGGAATATATCTATGAGTGACAATTCCATTGCATTGGGTGACAAACTGATGAAAGAACTGCGGAGGAAGAAGGGCAAGGCTGATTCAGGACTGTGGACAGTGGACTCACTCTATCTGAAGCCTGGTTCTGATAGCAATGACAGTTCCACTGCAGTGGAAGATTGGCTTACTCCTGCATTCATGGAATCTGATAGTTGTCCTCGTAGAGATTCTTCTCCAACTCCAATGAAGATAAATTTGCCTAAAAATCCCAATCAAAAACAGGACACTATTGAACCAGCTAAGAAAGTATTGCAGTTTGATGGCAGTCAATTTGTTGACAATACAGAGACTAATGAAGATAGGCCAATGACACCCATGCTGGAATGTGACAAGAATATGAGACATGTATCAACTCCTCACACAACAGCATCTCTTGATGAAACTCTCAATGGTATAAGTTCTATATTTCCATATCATGATGGGACTAGTGAGGCAGACCTTGATTGTTCTTTTCAGTCATCACAGCCCTCAGTAGTGCCACAAACACTTGAAAGCAGATGTGATCTGTCAGCTTTTGTCATGAGAAGTGTCACACCTACTCACTCAGAATGGAGCCCTGGGTCGCTTTCAGGTGGTGTTATGAAAGGGATAGATTTTCGGCCTCTAACTCCAAATTTTGATTCTGCTTCAGGTCTCAAGTTTGAGAGGAAACATGTTTATCCCCAAAAGGCATGTGTGGGTTTGTCTTTGGATATCCCAATTGCATTTGAGAACCTAACTGTGATGCCAATTCAATGCTCATTATCTGTGATTCAAGCAGAACATGATAATGAAGTAGTGCACATCAATGATTCCACATTATTTCGGTTGAATTTTGAGTCCTCATTCATCATATCAAAGCTAGGGAATCATGAGTGCAATATCATCTTCATACCCCTTGCTCCTGGAAGTTTTAGATTCATCCTCCAGCTGATTCCAAAGGTCTTGTCTCAAGACAGATCTGGTACAATGACTCAAGTGAGAGACTCCTTGGAGCTGAGGGTGTCAGCTGAGAATCCAAATGTGCAGATTGTTCCAACAAGTGTTCAAAACAGGGCTCTCTGTGATTCTCAACGCCTGGTCAACTTTGGAACTCTTGCAGAAATGTGTCGAAAAGTAGAAACTGTTCTTGTCATGAACAATAGTGATTTTGGAGTATGTGTTCGACTGGGTATCAAGGGTCTACCCACTGGAGCTGAAGTGTTTCGATTCCCAACATCTTTGGTCTCTCACTACAAAGGACAGTGTAGAGAAAGTTCCTCTCCTTTCTCTATTGTTTTGCAGCTACCATCTAGGAAGGAGAAAGGTTCCACTGTCTCCATCCAAATTCAAGTCAGAGCCCCGTTATTGGGAAATGTCCAGCCAGATTCACTCCCTATTCCTCTGCAGACGCAGTTACAGGTAGAAATTGCAACTCTGACTGCTCCACAGGTGTTGGATACCATCAACTTATGTGTCTACGTTGGAAGATTGATCCCACAATTCCACATCCCCAGAGAACCATTGAAAATTGCAACAAATTCTACTGAAATGGTGCCCTTCAAAAATGGAGGGAATATAAGAGGAGAGATGTCTTTCCATGGCACATCAGAATTTGACATCACTCCCAGAACAGTCAGTCTAAATCCTGGGGAAATAATAATTCTTAGCATTTCTTTTCATGGATCTGGTTCAAATGAGGATGTGGAAGGGAATGTAACAATTAGAGTTCACCCAGATGGGTTGGCATACACTTTGCAAGTCCTCGGAATGTGCCAGACCTGTGGTGGCACTGGTCCCCTCATGTCTCATCAATATGCAAACTCCCAATATGATTTTATATCAGAAGTGACTCGAAACCCTTCTCTGGCTTTATCTGCCTCTTCACAATACAATGATACAAGAGAGACACAAGTACACTTTGTTGATTCAAATGGATTGTTCCTTGAAAATCATGGCTCCCTGAATCTAATTTGCAAGAATCTCAAAACACCTGTATGCATTTCTGCACATCGTTCCTTTGCTGTTTGGGCTGGGGTCATGCACCACTCTCCATCTCATCGAACCATCAGGCTTCAAAATAATGGGAAAGAGACTTTGGGTCTTGACCTTCAGTTGAGCAACACAGATGTCTTTTTTTTCCGTTCTGGAAAAGTTAGACCCATTTATTCAAGAAAGGATCAAAAAGTGGTTCTCAGGAGTCAGGAAACTGTTGATGTGACAATCACACACATACCTAGGCAACCTTTATCATGGTATTGTGAACAGTTGACCATGACTAGTATTCCAAATGATCCTGTGACTGAGAGGCGCAAAACTTATATCCTTCCCCTTCTTGCCTATTCTGGCTCATCAGCTTTGGCCATCAATGGCACAGAGCTGTCTGAGGCTTCAGAGATTGTTTTATCTCATCTTTCCTATGGGGCAACAGTTGCAGAACCCATCAATTTCTTTAACTCTGGAAGTAGAGAGGCATTTGTTTACCTCTTTTGCTGTTCAGATGTGCACTGCAAGGAGAAAATGCCCCAAAAGCTGGCAACTGTGACACCTCACTCATTTTTCCTGAAGCCTGGACAGCATCAAACTTCTGTGTTGATGTTCAAGTGCCAAAGTTCAGATAGAAACAGGGATCCACAAATACCCTTTGCATACTTGGGTATCATTCACACTGAAGAGGAGATGCGACATCTTTGGGTGACTTGGAATGCCACTGGTGTTGCCATGCCTCCAACCATAAATGGTACCAAGGCAAACCTATTCTCAAAGGTTGATTGGACCCAATCTATCAATTTCTCCCCAGGACATCAAGTCTTCTCAATCCCTCCTTCAAGAGGAGGAAGTGCATTGTTTACACAGTCCCTCAAATATGCAACAATTCCCATTGTTTCCAGAGATTATCGTGACTCTGATCTTTCTTATACTGTACTCAATGAAGTTGGATGAAAATCCATGGAGTTTGTCGATGACGTGTTTTCTTGGTTTTTTTTCCCCCTAACATCTCAGGTTCGAGTCATTGTAAGTTCAAGTCTGTGATTTGTTAGTTTTTGAAGATGGAATAAATGGACATTAATACAATGGAAGAGGGTTCATTTCTTTCTTCTAAACAAGATTGATAAGGGATTAGTGTAATGAAAATGTAGGGTTTCCATGTTTGCGTCTCTCAGTGTCGTCAACAGAGGGCTTGATTACGTAACTGAGTGATTCATTTCCAGATTTTTGCTCTCAAGAAATGCCGAGCGTTTCAAGTCACTTCCACTGTTTATACTGCCGTGGTGTGCATGTTGTTGGACCTGGAGGCATCAAACTCAAGGTGTGAATCAATTTGACCACGGGGGCTCATATTCGAGATGTCAAAGGAATGTGTTTATGGGTGTTCAATGCCGTTCCCATTGGTCGTATGGGGTTATACGATCCCAAGTCTGCTGGGTTGAGGTCAGGCGGTCTTGCTGGCCAGGATCGATGTTCAAAGGATCAGAGTGTCATTGTGATTAAAGGTGTTGTCTGATCACACGGTCTTCGAATGTGGCCTGCAGAACACATCACACTCGGCTTGCGATGTGAAATGGAGTAAAGTCTAGCATGAAGACTGCTCAACCATTTTATCGGCTCCCAGAGATGACTACTAGGGACATCTTATGGATGTCAAAATGTCTGGGTGCAACGACATCCCAAAGATGTCCCTTTCTTAAAGAACTAGCACATCCTGGAGATGTCCCAGGGATGTACCCTTGGGACATCTCAGGGATATCAAAATGTCTGAGCGTAAAGCCATCCGAAGGATGTCTCTTTCCTGCAGCAGAAGTATATCTGAAGGGTGTCCCAGAGATATCGCCTAGGGCAGTGGTCGGCAACTGGCGACCCGCGGAAGCCTCGCTCTGGCTCGCGAAGACCTGGATATCGGACATCACGATCTGACAATAGACTTTCAACTGCACGTTTGACATGAGACGTTCGATAAAATTTTCATTTTAATGACACTTTGTAGGCGCTGGCTCGCGAACGTTCAGCATTCTGCCATCCGGCCCGTCGTGAAATTTAGTTGCCGACCACTGGCCTAGGGACAAGTGAGAAGTCCCACCCAAGTAGCAAGGGATCATCCCTGGGACATCCCATTTGGATCCTACGTGGGAGAAAATAACATCCCATGGATGTCATAATGAAATCGTCCCGGGATATAGGAATCCCTGGAGCATCTAGAGGACTTCCTGTAAGGTCAGAAATGCTCTCGTCTCATGCACCAAATCCCCCGTATGTCCATGGGACGTCCGTTGTGGGATGTGGATGAGTCCCATAATAGACCTAGGATCCAAATGGGATGTCTCGTGGATGATCCCTTGTTACTTCGGCAGGTAGTACTTGCAGGCGCCTTCCTATCCGCAATGGACTCATTTCCTACAGCAAAGGAGAACCCATTACTTTCGAGAGTGTCTCTATTTGATCTAGAGACACTTTATCTTAAGTTCTTGACCTATTGAAGAGTGACGGTTATGGGTGAGTCAAATCCTGTTCCTAGAGTCCCATCATAGGAGACACATCTCTAAGGGACGAAATTTAGCACGTTTACACGAGAGGTCATGGACGAGATGATATAGTCTTACGCCATTTAAAAAGTATGGGCTCAGGCCTCTAAGCAAGATAGTTGTATCCAGACTTTTCGATCAGACATCATTAACCCTTCAAGCGCTGAGTTTTGACAAGAACTCCTAAGTGATGCACATACGGCGTACGTGAAAATGGCTTGAAGGGTTAAATGGAATATAGCGGAATAAATTCAAATTCGGACCGAAATTTTTTCACTTTCCCTAGTGGCAGTACGGCACGAAAATCCTTACTTATCCTCAGGACAAATCAAGTAAATAAATTTGATAGAAAAGAAACGAGGTTGCAGATCAGGGCTCACGGGAGACGTCTACCGTCGAAGGTATGCACCTAACTAAAGGCGAAAAATAGCATTGAAGATCCCTAAAGACATTCTCCTCAAGATATTAAGCATTCGACTTAAGATGTCTTCACTCCAGGATATCCAGAAACATTCTACTAAGGATGTCTTAAAGATGTCCCGAAAGGGATATCTCCAAGATACCGACAGAAAATGTCTAAAACACGTCTCTAAGATGTCCAGCAGGCATCCCTTACGAGATGTCCGAAACCGTCCGAAATATGTATTCAGGATATCCTTAAAGACCATGGGACAAGTCGTCCAGTCAGGGACTTCCCTGTAATATCACGTTGCCGTGTGGGTACGGACCACCCTGAACCTTTATCGCCAGAAAAGTTGCTGCAGGTTCACCTAGAAGCCGCCAAAGAGCAATGGTGACCTCCATGTGAACCACGTGCTTAGAACACGTGCGGCATGAGGAGTCCCAAACAACGATGGAGGTGGAAGTGGGATGAGGAGGGGGGGGGTTTGATCTTTGTTTTCTCACGCCTTTCACCCTCTTCACGCCCTACGCTGAGACACCCATCCCACATCTCTTTCCAACTTCAACAGTAGGTGCATACATTTATGTCATCTCTATTGGTAACTAGTGCT